ACCCCTAACTGTGACCATTTCTTGATCCCCTGGAAATTCCAATCCATTGGCCCCCTAACACCTTTTCTCTTCTCTTCAACACAGTCATTCACGTCCTCTCTTCTCCCCCCGCCTGGCTTAGATGCCATGGTCGTTCACTGTCATCATTCTCTTGCATAAACCCCCAACCCCCTTGTTGTTCTCTCCTCCTTCATATTTACCTGGCAACTCCATACTTTGCTTACATCTAACCTTCTGCCTAGTTTTATCTGTACCCAAGTAGGTAAATGAAGCTGGCAAGAACACACAGCTACACCTACTAGCCTCGCTTTATATTCATGAGCTCTGACCTCAAATGGGCTCTTCCTGCTCCCCAACAATCCAGCTGTATTTTCCAAGTCTGTTGACTTTCTCACTGTTCTAGATGACTTCATATTTCTCCTCTCTCCCCAAACTTCCTCCATACTCCTCACTCTTAGCAGACGACCTTGCTTTGTATTTCATTGATAAAATATCTTATTCCTTCCACATTTACCAGCATCTCTGCCATACTTTCCGAGTAGCTAAGACAACAGGCATGCACCATCAAACCCGGCTTATTCTTTGATTTTCTGTAAAGATGAGATCTCCCTATGTTGCCCAGTTTGGTCTCCAACTCCCAGGCTCAAGTGATCCTCCTACCTTGGCCTCCCAAAGTGCTGGGTTTACAGGGGCAAGCTACCATGCTCAGCTATTAACATTTGAATCCATGAGGAAGACTGCCTGAAAAAGTAAATTGTGGTTGGGAAGGGAGGGGAAGATTGCCGGGGATTAAGAGTGGCGTTTGGACACCTTCAGTTTGGAGTTGTTCTCTCCTGTTACTGGGGTGAACTCTTTCTTCTATTTAACCCCAAATTTCCATTTGTGCATTGAATCGCACACCTGCTCATCTATGTACTCAAGAACATTGCTCCAGCACATAACCCATTTCTCTCCCGTATCATCCCTCTTACCTTTCCGTTTGGGTCATACCTGTGAGCTACAAACATGTGTAGCTTCTACTTTAAAAAAAAAACTGCTTTGACTATATGGTTCCTTCCAGGTTCTATTCCATTGCTTTGTCTTCATCTGCCATTTTTATTCTTTCTGGGGTCACCCCAAACAGGCTTTGGTCATCCCACCACTAAAACTCTTCTTACCAAGTTCACCACTGACCTCTCTGACCTCACCACAAGCCCATGGCTCAGTTTTCAGTCCTAATTTTACACATCACATTTGACAGTTAATCATTCTTTCTTGCAACATTCTTTTCATTTGACTTCTGGAACATGTTCTCTCTTGGTTTATCTATCTCAGAAATCAGACCTTCTCAATCTCTTTTTTTTATTCTTTATCTTCTTAACCTCTGAACTTTGGAGCACACCAGGACTCAGACTTCAGATATCCCCATTCTGTCTGCACACCATCTATATGCTAAAGACCTCCAGATATATACCACCATCCCAGACTCACCTAACCAACTGCCTTCGTGACAGCTTGACAACTTCAAACTGAAGGAGTCCAAAATGCTACTCTTAATCCCCAGCAATATTCCCCTTTCCTCCCCATCCACAATTTGCTTTTTCAGGAAGTCTTTCCCATGGATTCAAAGGTTAATCTCAGCTGAGCATGGTAGCGGACGCCTGTTAACCCAGAACTTTGGGAGGCCAAGGTGGGAGGATCACTTGAGCCGAGTGTGGTAGTGCCTGCCTGTAGTCCAAGCTGCTCAGGGGGCTGAGGCAGGAGGATCACTTGAGCAGGGGAGGTCAAGGTTGCAGGGAGCCATAATCATGCCACTGCATTGCAGCCTGGGCAACAGAGTGAGACCCTGCCTCAAAAAAAAAAAAATTAAAAATGTTATCAGCAAGCACTCTCATAGACACACCCAGAATAATGTTTTAGCAAATAAAATTTGACACATCAAATTAACCATCACAGCTTCCTAACTCGTTGGCCTGTTTTAATCTTTGTCCTTTAATCTATCCTCAACAAAATGGTGGATTAAAAAAACAACCAGCCACATCATTTAGCTTCTCTGCTAAACATTCTTCAGTCTTCCTATCTCAATTAATGTAAAAAAATTTTTTTTGAGACAGAGTCTCAGTCTGTCACCAGACTGGAGTGCAGTGGTGCGCTCTTGGCTCGCTGCAACCTCAGCCTCCCAGGTTTAAGTGACTCTCCTGCCTCAGCCTCCTGAGTAGCTGGGATTATAGGCATGTACCACCACACCCAGCTAATGTTTGTATTTTTAGTAGAGACGGGGTTTCAGTATGTTGGCCAGGCTGGTCTCGAACTCCTGACCTTGTGATCTGCCGACTTCAGTCTCCCAAAGTGCTGGGATTACAGGCGTGAGCCACTGTGCCCAGGCTTCGATGTAAAATTTAAAGACTATCATGACTACCAATGCCGTACATGCTCTATTCCCCACTCCTAGCCCAGCCGCCATCACTCTTACTGAACTCTGTTTTGCCCACCCTGATATTTCTCCCAGAAGCCAAGCATGCTCCTGCCTCGGGGCCTTTACATCCACTGATCCCTAAGCTTGAAATGATTTTAATCCCAATAGCTGCATTTGCAATATACATATTTTTAAAAACATAACACACCTCATCCCTCTTATCTTACTCTCTTTTATAATAAACTGTATTTTTTTTCTTTTTCTTTTCTTTTCTTTTCTTTTTTTTTTATTTTGAGATGGAGAGTCTTGCTCTGTTGTCCAGGCTGGAGTGCAGTAGCACGATCTCGGCTCACTGCAACCTCTGCCTCCTGGGTTCAAGCAATTCTCTGCCTCGGCCTTTTGAGTAGCTGGGATTACAGGTGTCCATTACCACGCCCAGGTAATTTTTTTGTATTTTCAGTAGAGATGGGTTTCACCATATTGGCCAGGCTGGTCTTGAACTCCTGACCTTGTGATCCACTCGCCTTGGCCTCTCAAAGTGCTGGGATTACAGGCGTGAGCCACCTCGCCCAGCAAATAAACTGCATCTTTTAGAACAGTTTTAGATTTACAGAAAAATTGCAAAGGTAGTACAGAATTGCCATAAATTCCATTTCAGATTTTTCTATGATTAGCATCTTACATTACATTCCTCACAACTGATTAATCAACCTTGATTCTTATTACTAATGAAAGTCCTTACTTTATTTAGATTTCCTTAGCTTTTCCCCAAGTCCTTTTTCTGTCCCAGAATCCCATCCAGGATGCCACATGACATTTAGTTTTCACATCCTCCTTAGCTTCTTCTAGGCTGCGGCGGTTTTTCAGACTTTCCTTATTTTTATTTTTAATTTTTGTAGAGACAGCGTCTCGCTATGTTGGCCAGGCCAGGTCTTGAACTCCTGGCCTCAAGCAATCCTCTCGCTTCAGCCTCCCACAGTGCTGGGATTACAGGTGTGAACCCCCACGTCTGGACTGTACTTTCCTTACTTTTGATAACCTGACAACTTCGAGGAATATGGTCAGGTATTTTGTAGGATGTCCCGCTATTGAAATTTGTTTGGTATTTTTCTCACTATGAGACAGTGGTTATGGGTTTTGGGGAGGAAGATCACAGAGGTAATAGGCCACATTCATCAATCACATTGTATTAACTACATGTCATCAATATAATTCATGATTGTTGACGTTGACTTAGAACATCTGGCTGGTGTAGTGTCTGTCAGCTTTCTCCATTGTAAAGCTACTCTTCTCCTCTTTCCATATTGTACTATTTTGGAGGAAGTCGCTGTGCACAGCCTAGGGTAGATGATCTACATAAATTATTTGGAATTATTCTGTGTAGGAGATTTGTCTCCTCTCTGCTTTTTATTTATTTATTCAATTATTTCTTTATATCCGTGTAGACTCATGGATATTTTTTACTTTGGCTTTTAATCCAATAAGACTTTGTTTTAGTTTACTTCGTTGCTCAAATGGTTCCATCTTTGGCAACTGGGAGCTCTTTCAGGTAGTTCCTGTGTTTAAACATTCTCCCATCAAGGCAGGATTCGTTTTTTATTTTTATTTTTCCTTCTCATTCTTTTGCCCAGGCTGAGGCGCAGTGGCAGGATCTAGGCTCACTGCATCCTTGACCTCCTGGGCTCAAATGATCCTCCCACCTTAGCCTCGCGAGTAGCTGGGACCACAGAGGCACGCCACCACGCTCAGCTAATTTTTGTATTTTTTGTAGAGATGGGTTTTCACCATATTGTTCAGACTGGTCTCGAACTCCTGGGCTCAAGTGATCCTCCCATCTCAGCCTCCCAAAGTGCTAGGATTACGGGCGTGAGCCACCGCGCCCGGCCCAATTTCCTTTTCTGAATATCACTTATTTACTTTTCAGCTTCAGCTCTGTTTTTCAAGGTGCTTACCACTACCTGGCACAATCCACACTTTCTGTTTACCTCTCCCCATTAAAGTGCCGGGACCTGGAGGCGGGGGAAGGGTCTTGGCAGTATTTTTGAGAGCGGTGGTATCCTGGGCACACAAGGGGACGCTCAGCTGATATCCAGGGAATGATGAGCCCGGCGGGTTCTGAGGCCGACTGGAGAGGGGTTGGCCGCAGGGTTCTGGGAAGGCGGTGCTCGGCCGCTGTGTGACCTCAGGCTCTTTGCCCGCCTCCTGGAGGGTCCAGCAGGTGCAGGACCTGCCGCAGCCTCGGCAGCCACGCCCACGCTCAGAGACCGCTTCCACTGTCCTCGCCGCGGAAACGCACCGGACGGCAAATGTCATCAGCGCAGCGGGGATTCCCTGGGAAAGTCCACCGCGCTCCCGGCCCTGAGAACCAGAGGATGAGCGGAGGAAGTGCCTCTGGCGGCAAACTTCCCACTCCCCGCGCGGGTCCGCTCCGCCCGCGGGAACTCTCCGAGGCGCACGGGAGGTGCTGGAGCGCGTCCCCGAGCGCAGGGACTCCGGGCGGGGCGGGAACCTGCGCTCTGCGAGCCGCCGCGCCCCGGCGCTGTCATCCTGGGGCGGGGCCATGTCCCCAGCTGTGGTCGCTTCCTAAGCAGCGAGGGCAGAGCCAGCGGCGCCCAGATGCGGCCGCGGCGGCGCGGAGCTCGGGCTGCAGTGGAGGAGCCCAGCCTCGGCCGCAGGGGGCGCGGGAGCCGCCAAGAGTCGCGCAACAGGTTTTCTGCCCCAACGCGGCGCCCACGGGGGACGCGCGCCAGGCCGGGAGAGGGGCTTCTCGGTTCGAACTCTCGCTCCGGGTACTGGTTTGTTTTTCTCTCCCTGAGACCCCCATTTCTCTTCCTATTCCAGGTGCGCGGAGAGTGCGGGGAGGTGGGCGGGCCGGGGCGGGGACAGTGTCTGGGCTCCGGATCCGCCGCGGGGCCTTAGTGGGTTTTGGTGCAGGGCCTCACGCCGCCTCTGGGCACCTTCGAGAACACAGCATTGGATTTCTCATATAAAGCGGAATGATTTTTTTTTTTTTGAATTATTTTTAATTTCAGAGGCCAAGGGACTGAGGATTTAGCGCTTCATAGGAATTATTTTAGGGATACCCGTTGGTAGGCTGCCTTTATAAAGCGTCCACCCAAGACTACTTTTAAGTTGAAAGGCTGAAGTGTTTCTTTGTTATCACCTCTTCGTTTCCTATTAGGGTGACTGTGTCAAAAACACCAGAAAGGGTACTTCTTGACTTGAACTTGACACTGTCACCCAGAAGCCGGAGAAATTGATAGAGCCTTGGAGCAGTCCCTTCGAAGCCCACATAAGACTTTGTTTTAGAAAAATGGAGAGGAGAGGTAGTGGCAATCCTGCGAGAACCACGCTGTCCGAGAGGGAATTCTGCCTTTTTCTAGACTCCGCTGACACCAACTGAGATCTGTATTACTTCCTGTGGTTCTCACGCACTTGTTTCAGCCGTTTCTCAGCAAAGGGAGGAGTTGTTATTTACGGGTATCCAAAAATGAGTCACACAGCTGCTCTCTTAATTGTGAGACTTTGTTAATGAACTTTTGAAAAGCGAGGCTTGCTCTGTCTGTATTTAAAATGAGGTTCTAGATGTGAAATGCCTGCCCTGCTAACCTGGGGCAGTGGTATGGGAAGTGACGATTTGAGTTTTCAGTTTCCTAAGGCGCCTGATGTTACAACATGCCAGTAAAGGTCACTGGGCTGATCTAAGATAACCATTAAAATCATGTGCTTTGCCACAGACGCCCAAGGGAAAATTAATTTCAGTATCTAGCGACCATTTTGCTATCATTTTCACTGCGTGGTAGAAATGTATCATTTAATGTGGTGACTGTAACTAACTCTCTAAAATCAAAATATTTCTGACAGTTTGTATTTACTAAATTGATGCTAAAACCACATGACGATTTTTGAAGCGGGTAGGTCCCAGCAGGAGCAGAGAAATTTAAAAGTTGAAACTCACAGGTGCCATTGTAGTGGGTAGAAGCGCTTAGGCAGGGTCTGCACACGCTCTCAACATGATAGAGAAGGGAGCACCATCTCTACTGGAGCTGAGTTGAGCTGCGTTCAGCCCCAAACAACAGTTACCAGGCACCTTCTCTGTGCCAGCCTCTTCTCTGAACCTTGCTTGTACAACCAGGAATAAAAGGATCCTGCTGACAAGCTGCTAGGGTAAATCTACACCCAGAGGGAAGTTTCTGTCCCAATATAACTCAATAAGCTGGGTCCCAGTGATTTAAAAATTAAACAACCAGTTATCACCCCTAGATAATTACAGCCACCTTTAGTTAATAGTGTGACTTTTAGGAAATAGTGTGACTAAATAATAGTTTATTTAAATACGCTGGAAAATCCATTATAATGAGATAGGTGCTAGGGTACATCTATGCCCAGAGTGAAGTTTCCGTGCCAATGTGACTGATGTTTCTGCAGATCTGGGATTTGGAATGGACTGGGTCATGGCTGAAAAAGCGAGGAAGCTTTTGAGTTTACTCATTTACTTGTCTTTGTAGGCAGCCTATTCTTCATTTGATACATGATTTTAAAATATATGAATTAGAAAGGTATGGTTTTTAAAGCACTTGAATGAACCATATTTCATATTATTTAATAACCATGTAAAACTGAACTCAGCTGATTATCACCCCTGGACAATTGCAGTCACCTTTAGTTAATAGCATGACTTTTAGGAAATAGTATGACTAATGAATAGAATAGGTTGTTTTGTTTTGTTTTGAGGCAGAGCCTCACTCTGTTGCCCAGGCTGGAGGGCAGTGGCGCAATCTTGGCTCGCTGGAATCTCCACCTCCTGCCTTCAAGCAATTCTCATGCTTCAGCTTCCCAAGTAGCTGGGACTATAGGCACCCACCACAACACCCGGCTAGTTTTTGTATTTTTAGTAGAGTCAAGGTTTTGCCCTGTTGGCCCAGCTGGTCTCAAACTCCTGACCACAGGTGAGCTGCTCACCTTGACCTCCCAAAGCACTGGGATTGCAGGTGTGAGCCACGATGCCCTGCCTAATAGTTTATAAACTTATAACACTATATTGAGGCACGTTTTTGATCATTGTTTTTGTGGTTCAAATCAATGTTTTTAGCACATTATAGCCATATGAGCCCAAATGAATAAATCTACTGTATCACAGTTTACTGTTGCAATTGAAATCTGCTGAGATGCTTTTAGACTTGATGCCCACGTATCAAGGTTCCCAAGTTTCTCCAGTTTGCTAAGATACCCAACTAGTAAAGGCAACAATGCTAAATTTGAGACAAATTTGCCTTAATTTCCTAACTTTATTCCTCCTTCAAGACCCCTAAGGTTACTTTTCCTATGAGGAAGAAAGAGTGGAGTATATTATTCAGCATTGTACTCCCTGAATTTGGCCCAGGCTTGACTCATGATAAGTGTAAGAAAGTGATGAATTTATTGATTTCATCCATAAATTTTATTGAAGTTTTATTTCATCATTTATTGATGAAATACGAACCTTCATGTAGGAGGATGAATTGTCAGGCAGATGAAAGGTTAGGTGGCCCAGCAGAAGGAACAGCACACATAGAGAAGTGAAACAGCACTGGACAGTCGGGAAACTCCAGCCTGTTTAGTGACAGCACAGAGCAAGGGCTGGGGAGACAGGAAGGGCCAGATCACAAAGGCCCATGAGCTATGTGGGACCTGAGGGTTTATAGTACTGAGTACTGAGGCCTTTGAACAAGTGAATGATACTGTCAGGTATGTGTTTGAAAAAACAATAGCAAAACTTAGAATTTTATAAATCTTAGATTAGAGGAGAGTGACATTGACCTTAGGGAGACACAGCGGAGACTACTGTAATATTGGAGATGGGACATGAAAGAAAGCCTGAATCAGGCAGTGACAGTGCAGACTGGAAGAGAGGGAAGGAGCTGGTAGACATTTAATAGGTGGAACCCAGTCGGGTGTGTATTTAGAAGTGGGCAGTGAGGAGGTGGGAGGAGTTAAGATGATTCCCACATTTCTAACTAATGACTAGGATAAGAATATCCTCCTCAGTGGAAAATAGGTTTGGGCTAAAGGATGGCGAGAAGCTCACACCATACTTGGCACATAATCAGTGCTCATTAAGATTTTTCAAAGGAATGCTAGTCATGGCTAAAATGTATCACATGCTTATTATGGGTCAGGTACTATCCTACGCTCACTATGTGCATTAAGCCTTTTACTCCTCAGTACAATCCTGTGAGGTAGGTACTCAAATTAACTGCTTTGACTGGAGAAGAAAGTGCAGTGTTAGTAACTGACAGAGCCAGAAATGGATCCCAAACACTTGGTTCCAGAGCTTGCATTCTGAAGCACTCTGCTGTGGTGTGCTGTCTTGATGAATGAATCAATGAGGTTTTGGACATTCTGGTAAACTCAGGTTGAAGTCACTCTCCTGCCTGTGACAATTCTTCCTTATCCAAGAATGTCCTTGATGCATACAATGGGCCCTCAGTGCCCCTAATGTGCTACATGACATCCCACCCCCCACCACCTTCACTCCAAGAAATACCTGATTCATCTAGGAAGAAAGCTGGAATAATCAAACACTTTTTTATCCTAGGAGTTTAAACATTTTAACGGAGACTCACAGTGTCTGTAGGTTCCAAGTGCTTCAGTCATTGTGTCTGCAGAGCTGCCTTGGTTACCATCCTTCCTAAACACTGAATATTCAGCTTTTCATATTTCTCAGATGCACTCAATGTTTTGTCGCTAAGATCTGCCATAGAAGCAGAGAGGCCGGGAGGCGTTAATCTACTGGGCAGGGTCCAATGGTGGAAAAATCACTAAAAAATGCAGGCAGGTACATAACAACTCCAGATTTTACATTCCTAACTTGTGATGTGCCTTCTGAATCCTATTTTGTTCTAGTTTACCCTGAAGAGGTGCCTTACTTACTCTAACTTCCAGAATCTTATTAAGTGAGCCTGGCCCTGCTGTGTCTCCTGTCCTCTTGACTTTAGCTTGGCAAAATAATTCAGGTATCTTGCATTCAGAGCTTACTTTCTATATGGGGCACCTGGGTAGATTTCTTTGGTCTCAACAGCGGTATTTTGACCAACAACCCTGTCCACTGCTCCCCACTGGCCCCCAAAAATGATCCCAACTCTTAACTGTTTTCATTGGATTGAAAACCTACACTGACTTGGATTAATATCCTGATTTTTGTTCAGCAATCAGGGACTAAGAATTGATCTAGGAAGAAACCTGGAATAATCAGACCTTTTCTCCTGGGAATTTACATTTTAATGGAGACATTCAGAGGTTCCCAGAGCTTAAGTCATTGTGTCCACAAAGCTGCCACCGTCATCTTTTCCTCAGAGACCTCTACTTTGGGCCATGTAAGGTTTAAAACGCCCAATGAATGTTATACCCAAACTGAGTCAGCAAACTCACTTATTGAAGCTTTAAAATGTTCAAATGTCCATTTTGGAAGGCTGAGGCAGGAGGCCTGCTTGAGCCTGGGGTTGGCGGCAGGGGTGGGGAGAATATTCAAATGTCTAAAACTTGGTTTTAAAATATTTTATCCACATGTGAATTAAATGTTTTGCTCAGCATTTCTTCAGATTGATTGGGAAATCAGCATATTTATAGTTGCCCATGAGATGAGAGTGACGTGAAGCCTTGCAGGGTGATAGAGCCCACATGTCTACCCCTTGGTCTGAGCTTTTAGGTGACTGCCTATAGTTCATTCATTGCTCAGATCATAAGAAAGGGAAGGGTTTGGCTAATATTTCATGTGGGTTTGTCTTGCCTGTCCGATTTGGCTGTGGTT